CCCCCCCCCCCCCGTCTCCCTGACGCTCTCGTCGCTCCCACCCGCCTTCCATCCTCACTTTAGGGGTTGAAAGCAAGCGCTGCCATCTGTGATCGAGCCAGCTCATCTCACTTCCCTCCCGGATCGCCGTTCGAGCCAAATTCCATCTCGAAACCTTTGGGTTTCACTCCTCTCGCCCATCATGCGGGAGGTCAACTTCAGTATCCCCAATGTCAACAAGGCTTCGGTCAATATCACCACCACCCTCTATGACCGGCGTGCCCTCGATTGTACATCGACCCTCCCCCTGATCAACTCCCTGAACCATCTGGCCTATCTCACTACATCGTCCGCCCGGATTCGCGATATCCTCACCGTCGATGGCGGCATCGAAAGACTGGTCTGTATCCTCAAGGAGGGCCGGAGTCGAGATCTGATGGAGATGTGGAAGTGGAGTCTCGCCTTCCAGTGTGTCGTCAACATCGGGGTGCGGGGGTCTGAGGGCGTGAGGACGAGAGTCGTGGAGGCTGACATGGTTCCGGTGATTGCCACCATCTTGGACAACTATATCAAGGTGGTGGACAAGGCGCGGGCGCGGTCGGACCCTGAGGCTCAGCGACACTCGTCGAGGCTCCATCCCAAGCCCCCGGCCCCGACCATCGAATCTGCCCGTGCGGCCTTGCTGGAGCAATCATCCGCCGCGGAGCAACGAACCTCGCGCCGTCACGCGCCGCCCCCGAACATCGAAATCCCGCCGTTCCTGCAGGACACCCAGGCCCCCGATTCGAGTGCCATGGACGTCACGGCGTCTCCTCGCATGCCAGTGACCTCTCCCCCCGAACGAAGCACTTTTGGTTCGGATGCCCACACCCACAGATCCCAGGAGGGTCGCCACCTCCACGCCGGTCACCGTCACCGTGCCATGCAGCCGCTCGCCACGGCGCTGCCGCCGATGGACACCGCCGATGGGTTTGGCCTGCGCCCCATCCGTGACACCGAACGACTGCCCAGCATGCTTCCCGGTCTTCATAATGGCTTCGCCTCTCAGCCCGACTCCCCGACAACCCCAAGTGGTCCCGTCCAATCTCAGGGCAACTCCCAGACCGTCGCCCCGAGAGAACGTCCGACCCTCAGACAACAGCAGTCAGCGTCCGGCGAATCGGACGACGGCAACGGAGAAGGCTCGTCGGCCATCGGCGACGATGCAGGCTCCCGGGAGTCGGCTGAGCCGATCGTTGGACTGCAGAACCGGATGGAGATTGACGATGTGGGCGAGAGACAGACCGGGTTGCCCGGCGTGTCGAACACACATGATTTGACGTTGACTGATCCGTCCGAGGGTCAAGAGGCCGAGACCTTCAACATCACCCACCATTCCACGGTGGATGGCAGCATCATCAACAACGACACCACCCAGACCAACGGCGGGCTCGGCTTGTCGCCCACCCAGGCGGTGAATAATGGCAACTCCCCCGCCATTGTCCCCAGCCCCTATTCGCTGTACTTCCGGGATCGATCGGCCAGCCAGAGCGTCCTGACCACGATCCCCCGGGATGAAGACGTGCTGATGTCCTTGCAACTCCTCGCCTACGTGTCCAAGTACTGCAACCTCCGGTCCTATTTCCAGAACTCGCACCTGGTGCCGAAGCTCAAGGTCGACCGCGAACTTCAGCTGCTGGAAGAGGGAACGTCGCCGGTCGACCTCCCGGAGGAAGAGGATGAGTATCTCCTCCCCGACGATGTCAACATCTTCCCTCTGGTCGAGAGGTTCACGGTTCGACACCACTCGAAGGAGATGCAGTACTGGGCGTGCGTGGTCATGAGGAATCTCTGCCGCAAGGACGAGTCCCGGGGTGGCATCCGCCAATGCGCCTACTACAAGTGCGGCAAGTGGGAAGAATTCCAACGCCAGTTTGCCAAATGTCGCCGCTGCCGTCGGACCAAGTACTGCAGCAAGGATTGTCAGAAGGCGGCATGGGTCTACCATCGCCACTGGTGCCACACCACGCCATGATGTGAACGGACGGAGTTGTCTAATATCCATAATGCATACTGGCTTGCATAGCGTCATCATACCTGTCATCTGCTATCATTTTCTTTTCATCCTGTTTCATTTTCCAGAGGTCGATACATGGCCACCTGTGCATGGCATTTGAACCTGGCGGCGTTCATCATCATCCCAGAGATACCTTTTGTATGTCGTCTGTTACTCGTTTTATTTCCCTCCCCCCAATTATTCCCATACGCCTGTTTCCATTATCTCGAGGCACTGAGACCTGCCTACTACACGTGGATCCCTTCAGCGATCATGAATATGCACAGTTATCATGCTCCATATCTCTCTTCCTTCCACATATTCTCTCCATGCCTTTGCTCTCGCCGCTGCTTATATCTATGGTGGGACATATCATATTCTCATTTTATCTATTCATTATTTCTTTTCCTTTTCTCTTGCAATATTCCCCTCCGTGAATAGTGAATGTTCCTTGCCTTCGGCGTGGTCCATTGTAACGTCGGACGAGTTTCTTTTGTCAGTAGCTGCGTGCGACGCCAGCACCCACCTACATCTTCTTTCAGCGGTTTTTCTTTGATCTATCATCCAGCCGTCCTGTTTTCTTTTTTTTTTTTTTTTCAAATTTTCAACTTGTCTATCTCATTGGCAGCACATGATCATTCTGCTATTTTTACTTTATTCTTGTGCTTTTTTTCTTTTTGCTTTTGCCTTTTTGATATTACCGTGAACATATATGCCTAGGTCGGCACCACCCTTTGTCTATTTGCATCATCCAATGGATTCGATTCGTGTGCATATTCTAATCAATCATCCCGGAATCGGACCTCTCGTGAATTTAATCAATTCGTTACACCAAACAATGTCTAGACAGACTAGAATAGACTAGCTAGACTACGCCTCCTTCCTCTCCCCATATGTAGCAGCCAACCGTGACATAAGATGCTCATAGGCCGTCAACGCGCGCTTCCCAGGTTGAAGCGCCCCCGCCCCGCCCCCAAACCCAACCCTCTCGTCCCCTTCCCCTCCTTGGACCATCTGTCTCTGTCTTCGATAAGCAGCCACCACTTCGCTGGGAACAGGTACCAACTCCGTTGTATCGCGCGGGTGGCAGAAGAAGACTATGCTGTACCTGTCCTGCGGGCTCGGCGCACGCTGCTCCAAGAGGGGGAATACGACACGGTGCACTGTTGACTTGAGAAGTCCGTCGGTCCAGTAGCTGAGGAGGTCGCCGATGTTGACTAGAATTGGGGGGAATGCGTATTCTCCTTCTTTGGATTCTTCTTCGGCGGCTCCGGGCTGTTGGTTGGGTTGGACTGGGACAGGGGCCCAGTTGGTGCTGTTATTGTCACTGCTGTTGCTGCTGCTGGCGTTGTTGTTATCTGTTCCTGCTGGAGGGAGAATTTCTAGACCCGGCTGTCCTGGCCGTTGGAATAGGAGCGTGATACTGCCGTAGTCGGAGTGCGCGCCGGCGCGGACGTCGACGTCGTGCTTGTAGGTTGCTGTTGAGGGGGATGAAATGGATGGGTAGTACAGGTAGCGGAGGATGGAGCCTGTGGGGCCTTGGTGGGGATCGTGGCGGGTTGTGAAGAAGTCGGGTGGGATCTGGGGTTGTTAGTGTATGCACCTCTTTCCCACTCTTTATATATATATATATATATATGTTCTTTCTTGGGCAACGATATGGTAGTTGAGCAGTAGGATGGAATGGAAAGGGTGTGGGTACCTCAAGCCCTAAAGCGAGTAGTTTGAGAATGCGGTTGCAGGTCCGCGTGCAGAGGTCTGCGAAATGGGCGATTTCGGCCTCGTGCGTGGCTAGGGATTGTGGGAGTGGTTGCTGGGCTTTGCCGTTTTGGAATTCGCCGAAGTTCATGGCTCTGGAGGTTGGTTGTTAGTTTGGCTTATGGGTTGGCTGGGTTGGGGTCTGGTTGAGTAGGCAGAGTCATACTCTTTGAAATCTCCGGTCTAGAGGGTGGTTAGCATTGTTTTTGTTACTCTCTTGTGTGTAGGAGATTTGTATATATATATATATATA